TTTTTTTTTTTTTTTTTTTTTTTTTTTTTTTGCAAGCAGAGCTATTTTATCTGAAATGGCAAGGCTTCTGAAAGATGTCCATTGCATAAGCATTATGCATTGGTGTTGGCATCCTTTTAGCAAAATTTTGCAAATTGAATGAACACCTTCAGATGCTAAATTGGATCAGCTGAAAGGACACAGCATTGAAACATTCTCCAAATGATTCAATTATCCTTCAGGATGCCGTTTTAATTTAGATTAAAGCATGAACAGCTCCATTATGCTGAGTTAACATTTCTTGTTTTTATTATTTATGAATAGATTTAAAAGAAAATTATTTCCAGGTAAACATCTTGGTCTTTTATCAGTGCTTCGTGTTAAGGTTTAAATATACCACCCAACCCTCAGTATGAACAGACATTTGAATGGGTTCCATTCTAAGCAGGATTAATAAAGGCCTGTGTGCTACTATTTGTGTATGCCAATGAGTTATAGATAGGCATAGATAATTGGAGACTGCTATCTGCTTTGAGAATTAATATTGCTCCTTGGAAAAATATGTATATGTGTACAACTTTTTCATATTTTTCATTGCATAATTATAAAGTAGGATTGTAGCTGTTTTTTCATTGCTTCAAAAATAAAACTTGAAATGTTTAACAAGTCTTCTGAACACGTGAAGAGTACAACTCTATTGAAAAACCACCAAGGTGAGAATAAAGCTCTGTAGACTGAGACTCTGGGCAAGGAAAGTATTACTCTATTAAATCAACAATGGGTTCATGGAAAATCTGGAGGAGCTGCATGGAAACACAGCTTTTACAAGATAGTTTGTTGAAAACAAAGCTTGTCATCCTCATTAATAAAGTAGTCAAAATATGTTCGTTGTTGAAAGAAGACCATATAGAGAATGTAGCAAACATGGGAAACAAGAATACAATGTTACTTTTTGTAAACATGTAAAGTGCTGCATTAAAAAATAAACGCTAAACATTATACTGGTAGTGGCACTATGGCGAATATGGGACAGCTCTTCGTTATATTTGAGAAAATAACTCAGAAAATCTAATGTAAAGGATAATTTCTGAAGAAAAGCTGTGAGAGGATGCAAATGACTAGAGACTAATGTGAAGGTTATCCTCAGCCAGGAAAATGAACATAGACATGCAGCTTTAATTCAGATTTAAAAAAAAATCCTTAATTCAACCTCCAATCTCTTGCAAGGCTTGACTTATTGTTCAGATATGCTCTCCAACCAGTCTGACTGAGCCTGAAACGTTTGAGGACAAATTGCCAAAAAGGATGTTCTCTAGTTTTGCAAAAATGTTTCTTGCTGCTTAAATCTAAACATGATATCAGAAATATACCGTAATTAATTTCTTCTCCTTTATAAATTTCTACCACGATAATTGTTATTAATTCTTTGTATTGCTTACACCGTGCCTAAATATATATAAGATGTACATAGATAATGCTGCTACAATTCATTGAAATTTATCAGTTCTCAGGGACAAAATGTTTTAAAAGAAAGCTACAAGTGGCTGAATATTCTTTTGAGGGGCTGCATGTCAATTGGGAGAGTCATAAAACAGACATTATGTGCCAGCAAATAGAAAAAACAAAAAAGAATATCAGGCAAAAACTCCCAAGAGAAAACATGTAGATAGATCAGTAGATTTACCGTTTGGTAATGTCTGATAAGCAATGAAGTTGCAGCTGGAAGAGGCACTGGAACAGAGAACTAACATAACCTGGATGCTTTTATACTGTGGGAAGACCAAACACTTCACAATTTGATATGAGGTCCTAACCCAAGATGGTGTCCATCTGGGGTTACACGTGTTCTAAGATGACACGTTTGACCCCTGTCCTGGTCTGCAAGAGACAGCACCTGCTGCCCCACCACAACACCACTAGTGGTCCGCCACTCATACTTGAGACAGGAGATATTTTTAGTGAATTTAATAGAGCCCCTTTGGTGGCTAACATTCAGTAGATTCACACCCCATAGACCCAGCAGGAAGGGATCAATTTCCTGACATCAACCACAAGCCATCAACATGTGCAGCAAATTGTATCCTACCTGTGTAACTCTCAGCCATGCGAAAATATGTCAAGGTTCTTTTAGAGGGAACTATGTCAGTGTATATTGCCTTGCAAAAGTATTGAATATTAAACCTATTTTGCCACCTTGAAACCACAAATACACAAATATTTTCTCAGAATATTCTGTGATAAAGCAACAACAACATAATACATAATTAAGAAGTGAAATGTAAATAACACATTGTTTATTTTTGATACATTTTAGTAGAAAATCTGAAAGGTGTGCTGCACATCTGTATTAATGCCGCAGTATAACTTAATGCCTCAAGAAATCAACCCCTCAGAATAAATCCATCTGTTAATGAAGGTCGGAATAGTTTGGTTAGGAAACAACCTTGCATTTAAACAATACTCAAGAGGCCAATGATAACTCTGAATGGGTATTTAGAGATACACAGCTTAGGTGGAATAATCTGTAGATGGGGCAGCTGATCATCATGACTAATTTTGTAAAAGCTTATGGTGCTGTTGGGAGATTAGACTAGTATTAAACCTTTTTGCCTGAATCCAAGGCTGTATATGACAGAAAACTGACATTACAAATCACTCTGAAAACAAGGACTGTAGTACACAGTAATGGCAAGCACATGGTGTGGGGATGCTTATTCTCAGCAGGAGAAATCATCAAATTTCACAGGAAGCTGGACTTAGCTAAATCCAAGGCAAAACAGGCAATAGTGAAAATAAGGTGTAATAGGCACATAGCAAAATCTGTTGATGAGAAAAGCTGGTAGTGTTTGTAGTTGCTGGTAGTTACACCCCTAAAGAATTGCTACAGTACTGTTGAAGGAACACTCAACATTTTAATTTGACAATGTTAAAACCATGTTTAATGCTGTTTTTTTTTTTCCAATTATGCACTACTTTGCATTGGGCTTTCATATGGAATCAAAGAGAAACAATAAATTCTGTTGTAGAATAATAAAACGATAAAAACATTTAGGAGACTGTGCATCTTTCCCTGCCCCTGTATATTTCAAAAACTGTTGTGCAATGCTCTCCCTTCTTTTTCTGTTTTAAATCATGCCTATACTTTGTAAATATGGTAATCCTTCATGAGCTGCTGGAGGAAATAGGGACATTCCGATGCAAGAAAGCTTTCTGCTTTTTCCTACTCATCTGTAAATTCTTTTGAGCTACAGTTATACAAACCCCTCATGGCTAACCCCATTTAATCCCCTTACCAGTCAACATTGCCTATCACAAAAAGGTTACATTTCCTGTATAACATATAGTGGTGCTAACAGTTGTCTGCTAGATTAGATATGTATCACGAAGCATTTCTTATCAAGCAAATCTTTAATTAAAGGGAGCATGCTGTATATGCACATGGTGGTAATCTAACAATATATTCCTTGTTGACCTGTCTCTGTTTTGTTTTGTTTTAATGTTTCAGCCTCTACAGTGGCTCCAAACGGGAAGAAAACATGCCTAAAGCTAAAGGTTTTCGTCCGACCATCAAGTAAGTGTTTGTTTGCAACAGAGGGCTTTGTTAAAAAAAAAAAAAAAAAAAAAACTTGGCTTTGTTCACTTTTGGACTGAAGATCTAAACAAATTGGGAAATAATGTTTCATTTCCTTACCTGTCTTTTATACAATGTAGACACTGTCCATAATGTTCCTTTTTACTTATCATAGACCTGTCTTATAATGAAACTATTTACTATTTAAAAACAAGAACAATGATCAGATGCACGGAACTGCTCTCAATGTTGCCATTAGCTTTGCTGCTCTGAGTGTTTGTCTAAAGTTCAGGTGGTGGTACAAATGTCACTAACATGTTTGTTGCATAACTGTAATGATTTCTCATTTTCCCTATTTTCTGTTATAGACAGCTGTGTGAAAACTATAAGCACACATGACCGAGTTTTTGATGTAGATGACAGAGTAGAAAGTACGTTACCAAGAGGTTAGTATGGCTTTATGCTCCTTTGTTCTTATTCACTGTGACTTCTTGCATGTGTCTCTTGTTCAATGCCCTTTTTTCCTTTTCCGTACACAGCATTTCTTACAAAGATTTTCTGTTCCTCCACATTGTTTCTTAAAGTGTTCTCCAAGACAGATGTATTTTAGATTGCAAAAAAAATATATATATATTTTTACATGTAACTAAATATCACTAGGTTTTTGTTATTTGTGTCAGCACATGTACTGTATGTATCTCCTAAGTTTTATTAAGGAACAAAATACTGCCTTTGATGGATTATCATTTTAATACAGATTTTCAGTCATTCATAGAATTGAATAATCACTGTTTGGATTATTTTAATAAAACAAAGGTCCTGGGAAATAACAATAATCAAAAGACTGAACACTGCTGATGGCCTGAATGCTACTAACAAAGCAGCCAAGGCTTCTTCAACTCCTAAGCAGTGCTGCTGGTTGATTGCCTTTGATGCTTTAAGTCATACTAAACAGAGCCCAAATAAGTAATAAGTACATTGAACTGAGCACACCTTTCAGAAGTGTGACTTAACTGTGACATTTTTTTTTATTATTTCTAACCCATTATCATGAAAAATACAAAATGAAAGGTTCTATTCTGTAAATATGAGTAAATGTCTCCGAAATAAGTGATAAATAGTCAACATTTTTATGAAATTGGAAGTTTTTCAGACATACCTGTAAATCAAAAATATAAGATCCTTAACATAAAACCTGATTAAGTTTGCTTTCTAACATTATAATGTTTAGATTTTGCCATAATGTCTTTAAAAAGCCACATAAAATAAATATATATCTGTCAAGTATTGTCATTTATTTGGCTGCTTTAAAAAAAATCTTAATCTGATCTGTATGTGCAGAGTATATTGTATACATACTTTTAAACAGTCTGCTTAAGTCTTCATTGACCTGCTGCTCAGCTCTGCAGCTCAGCATTGATTATTTGTTGTGCTCAGAATGCACAGCATTTTATGTGCTTTACATGAGTCCAAGTCAGTCACCGGGGAGAAACCCTCCCCCATCACCTGCATGCTGCTGTTTCATTCTTATCACCAACACCAAAGAGAGCTCGCTCTGAAAATATCATACAAAGTATAGACCTGGAAGACAAAGTATAGGAAAGTCAAAACTTTAAAAAGAAATAAAAATGAAAAACATTTTTACTAACTTAAGATGCTGTAACTTTTTGCTAGCTTTATTTTCTCCAGATGTGGTTTAGACCTTATAAAATGGATATATACAATTATATAGGACAATGTGTTAAAGTCAACATTCTACCACTTTTATACTTATACTCATTATTAGAAGTTTCAGCAAGGTGTAATTTATGATTTATTATCAAATTATATTGCTAACCTGAGCAACTGAGGTCTATTAAGATTGAACCTAATATTATTATTAACATTGACTTTTATTTTACTGATTTTGACAAATTGAAACATCAAAACTTTTAAATGTCAGCGTTAATAGTGTGGAATAGGTGTAGCTAACAAAATGCTAGGCAGTCAAAATGCTTGATTTATGCTTGTCCCTCTTCTTTGCTTTATACATGCATGTTAATTTTGCTGTCCTGTATGCATATTTTAAAGGCAACCTCCATTTAACAGAATTTAGCTTTATTATTTGTTGCTAATTTCTTTTACCATGACCTCTAAAGCAGTGGAACTTAAACATCCACCCAGAGTAACATTTGTTTTACGTTGTCCATCTAGTCTTCAAACTCATCTTACACATTTTTTTGGTTATTTAAACATCCAATTGTCTGGCCTGTCTATCCGTCCTTGTGTTGAGCATGGTTCAGATACCTTCCCACGGTGAAACAGCCACATGGCTGCACGCAGATACTGATGCCACTGCCAGACAGACACAGGCGGCTGCTCACCTGGGAGATGAAACCTTATACAGCAACTGATGTTTAAATGGCAACTCTGACTTTCATGACATGAATCCGAAAAGCTCTACTATTGTTGATGAATGGAACCAATACTTTTTGATATTATCTTCATCTCAAATTATAATAAATCTAAATAGGTATTCTTAGTTATTATAATTATAAACTGCATATTATATGAATTAAACACAGAGAGATAAAGTTTGTGGTAAGTTTTTGGATTTTGGCTCATGAAATCTTTTTCAAATCAGTTTATCATTAAATTACAAAGTTATATAAGATGGACAAGATTTATGTTATGATCTTTATGATAACAGACAGACTAGTCAAACTGATAGTAAGTGCCTTAGTTTTCCAGTGCAGGACTTTCTGCTGGCTCATCTGTTTTTTTGTTTTAATTTAATTGATGAGTTTTGCTCTGTAATCTGTCAAAAACAGACTTGAGTTGTATTTCTGACAGATGATGGAGGGGGCTGCCTGTAATGCCACAGAGCCAGTCAGAATTTATCCATTGATCAATATGGCTTCTACTTGCTATGGAGAACTAGAATGCACTGATCTCTGATATTTTGTGGATGAGTGGCAAGCCACAAAAAAGTATTTTCAAAAGAAACAGGCATTACCCATGAAAACCAACCAGAGGTTGAACTGATGGGAAAAGCCTTATAGAAAAAGGTGCACAAGTTTTTTCAGTGATTATTTGTCAGCACCAGAAACTCTTAAGCCATTTCATGTTTCTATATTCTGACAAGCATTATAAAGATGCCAAGTTCAGTTTTTCACAGGACTTGGCACCAGACCATTGCTGCCAAAAATACTAAATACCTACTTAAAACACTATAGTATTACTTGATTTACCAGCAAACTAACCTTATATAAACCCTAGAAGAGTCTACAAGGTATTAATAGTAAAAAAGATTCAAGAAAACAAAACCAAAGCAACCTGTCACACAAAGCTGTATAAGCACAAATATTGTTCATATTTAGTATCCTATACTCTTTGGTAGCCCACATTTCTGTTATATAAAAAAAAAACATATTTCGTTGTAAACATACATATAAACCATTTACATTTCTTTGAAACCAAAGGTATTCACTGTAATGCATGATCATACAAATTAACATTAAAAAAGCTTGATATACATTATTGGTCTCCTTCATGTGTTTAAAGTGAAGTTTTGTGATGAATTGAATTATACAAATTTCTTCAAAGTAAAAAAAAGCAACCTTTTTTTATACCATTTTAATTAGGAGATGTATATAAACAGGCACATCAGTTTATAAATAAATCACTTAAATAACTTTAGTTTCATCACAGAACAAATCAACTGATACTAAAATCCATGTTGTTTTGTTTTTTTTCTCTTGTCTCTTAGATGAAACTAGCCATGAAACAGCTGCCCCATCGCGGAGTGAAACAAATGCTGCGAAACGTCTACAGACAACAAGTTCTCTGCTTGCTTTGCTGCTGGTCACCCTAGTGGGACTCTTCACTTTATAGCGCCTCCCTCTGTACTGGAGTTTATTTACACCTAGCGTGGCCTGAGTCTACCCTAGGCTGCAGGGTAGTAGGTGGGATTTGGGTGGGTTGTATTTGCTTGATTGGGCATAAAAAAGCAGGCTTCTCAAGAAAAAAAACAAACATTTTTTTTTCTGAAGAGGAATTAACTAAGAGATTTTTCTCCTTCTGTGAGTTAAAATAGTTGAGTTAGAAGTGGGAGTGAGAATTCCCCTCTTAAACATTCAACCAAGATGCCAAATTAAAATTTTTCCCACTTAGTGATTCTTATTTTCCCATGACATTTAACATTACCCTACACCGTTTTTATGTCATTTCAGTAATGATTTTTAACAAGGAAATATAGTTTATAGTGCATCCAGACAGACTGATTTTCACACTGTTTAAACATTGCAAAAGCACATACAAAATTAGTAGGATTTTACAGTGTTAGACAGTTGCAGTATATACAGTTTTACACTTTAGATAATAGGTCATAGTGATGACTGTACATACATCAAACAGGAATAGAAAGTTTCCCTGATCCCTTTCAACAAGCCCTTCAGAAATCAGCGTCGTTGGGGTTTTATGTATTGGAAACTATTTCTTAAGCCAGTGGTAGAGCAGAGTTGTTCACCAATGCAATGTTTAAACATGTGCTAAGTATATGACATCCATCTCAGCCAACTCATCTACGCCGTCTTGGTGGTGGTCTCTTTCTCCTAAGTGTGATGAGCTGTTGGATGTTCTGGGTGAGCAAGTGGAGGCAAACCTCTTTCATATTAACAGACGACTCCTCCTTTGTCACAAACCCAATAAAAAGGCCCAATAAAACATTTCTGAAAGGGTTCTGTTCACTCAGACTCACAAAGCCAAAATTAAATTGAAACTTTCTCTCCAGACACTTCGTTAACCGCTGTTAAAATCGAGAATCAATACCTTTTGAAACTTGATAACACAATTTCACGGCAGCAGTCACAGCCATTTGTGCAATGTTTACTGAGCTGGGGTGCAATTGTTTTCTCTGTTCCAGTTGAGCATTAGTCAATATTAACACTCCCATAAACATTTGCATCTAAAAGTATTTATTCCCTGGATATTGATTGTTCAAAATGTTTCACAGCTTAAACTTTGTGTTGTTTTTATTTATCTGTTCGTTTCGATAATTATCAAATTTATTAACTGATCAAACATTGTCTTTAACCCCTCAGACAGTTTAAACTTAATTTTAGATCCAATTTAATGAGAAAAACAACTGATGTGCAAGGAATGTTTAAAAAGACTGTCCAATTTACAGTGCCACACTTTTTTTTTCTTTAACGTAATTATAGCTCAGTTAAATACTTGTTAGAGGCTTATCGGTTTGATGGTGTTACAGCATTTAGCAAAGCATTATAAGGATTTATGCATAGCTATAATTAGTTGAGCTCACTTAACGTAAGACAAAAGAGAAATGCATCCATTAAATTCAAGGCAGCTCGGTTCATTCTGTTTATGTTTCCACTTAAAATCAAAGTAGTTTACTGATCAGCAGCCCACTAAACACATTGTGAGTTAGTAGAATGAGATTTTGTTTTTCATTTCCTTGCAAGGGATTGGAGTTTCACCTAAAGGTATAGATCAGGGTTTCTCTATTGAGGCTCGCTTATATTAATTAGCACTTAACATCTTAAATGCACTTGGTAACTTTTTAGGTGTCTTTATTTGGTATTAATCCAGATTAAAAGGGCCCAGGAAAGGAAGCTAATGTCTTTTTTTTTTATGTCTTAACTAAACTAATATTTTTACCACTACTTCAAGGGCTTTTAACTGGTTTTAATTTTTCCACAAGCAATGAATCATCTCAGAGCAACATCATTGCATTAACGTCTCACAAATATCTTAGAAACGCTTGATTTGCTCGCTTTTTGTTCTAAGTTTTTATAAAGATTCAAATCACAGAAAGACTGGTTAACTTGACAAATAACATTTACCTGATTAGTCCCACAATTATTTTCTATTAATAACTTTTTATGAATTTGTTAATGCTGTTTTAAGTGGCTAAAACCGGTACCTTTTGTCTTTTCACTGTTATTCCAACGTTTTGGTAATTATATAGGTCTGTGTTTTACATTTTCTTGATATATCAAATTAGATAGATTGGAACAAACTGTGCAATTTTAAATGTTTTCAAATATTTTGATTGTTCTAGAGCTTCTAACATCCCAGCATCAGTTCAAGTTAAAAGAACTTTTTTTTTCTGTGCCATAGCTTACAGCAATAAGAAATGAGAGAAAAAAATATAAAAGATGCACTAGCATCAGTTGAACACTGGAACCAATTTGGTTCAAAAACCCTAGAAATGCCGTAACCAATCAGATTTCCAAAAATAAAAGCATTCCAAAAAGCACCATAGAGGTTGATCTTTATGATCTTTTATGAACCTTTAAACTTTTCTCATGCTTACATCGGACAATAATTTACAATTAAGCCAATAGTTATTTACTAGCAAAACAGATGGACTAGGAAATCCCTTTCCAATGGGAAACACACACTACTGTATGGATGGAGCATTCAAACCACATCCAAGCAGAGTAACTAACTACCTTATAAAAAGTATTGCTCTAATAAAAGTTGTAAAAACTGTCATCTAAAACTACTGTAATATTTTAGCGTTTGACCAATCTGTACTTTTATATCAGATCATTACTCTAACCTGAAAGACTTGTTTCACATAGGAAGACATTTTTTTGCACCCTGCCTCCTACCATCATTTCTTGCTGTAACTATTTTTGTCCTTAGTATGGATCACTGCCCTTTGCAAAAGTTATACTGGTTTAAAGGTTCATAAGATTGTGTTCTCATAAACAGCTTGGCCTTTTTTAGGCCAAGTTATCTTAGGATGCTACTGGTGCCTTTCAGTCTTGATAATTTTTAATGTGCTGTTAGAGTAAGCCTCTTGAATGAGCTAATCTGGATTACTGCTAAATAAAGATGTTATCAGAATTATAATCTTTAAACAAAGCCTCACTTGAAAATTCCTGTACTATGCCTTTATTTATACTGAATGTAACATTATATCAGAGCAGCATGGTGAATGCAAGTTATTAAAGATGAACAACATCGAGCAAAAATGGAACAACCACACGCCCACCTTCTACTCCCACTGCTACAGTTTAAGTGACTCATTCCTTTATGGTGTTCAATGTGACAGGCACACAGACATGTTTTAGTTTGGGCACTTTTTTCTGGTTTTGAAATGAGATTGTGGAAGTCTTGGCAGGGGGAGGGAAGTGTAGATTTTCACTGTGGGGATTATGGAGGCTCAATGTCCAGTTTGTGAACGTCTAGTGAGTAATGGAGATGAAATAGATGAAGAGATGCTCACACACATCAATAAACACAAGTTTGGACATCAAATATATCTCACAGAAGTGTTAAGTGCCTAAAAAATAAATTTAAGACAAAATCAGCAAAAATTAATTTGACACTACAGGACAAAAGAAAATTATTCAGTTCAATACCAAACAATGGTCTAGCACCATTTGACCTCAGATACACATACTGTTTTGGGTTTGCTTTGTTTTTATTTTGTGGCTGCCTTTTTTTGCTTTCTAAATATATATTTTATTGCATTTCTGACAAAAACAACAACCTTTGCCTTCAGACATTTGTTTCTTTATAAACTGATTTAACAATGCTATTACACAGAATAGCAGCTCAGTTATGAGAGGTATTGGGAGATGAGGTCATTTAATAGGATACAGATTTTCAGAATATCACCACAGGGATATGAGCACTGCATAAAATTAAACTTGGATACTTATCAGCAAATTCTAATCAGAAACCAGTTTTAATTGTCATTTTTCCTATCCTTATCATGATTTGTTCTGCACACAACCTTAACCTGGGAAATGAGAATCAACTTATATACTGGATACTGTGTATCCTGAGGTAGACAACCATACAACATATAGTGTTAGGTTAGTATCTGTTTTGTACCTTTCTGTAGGACAAATGAAAAAAAAAAGATGAAACAAACCATTGTTAAAAACTGTATAATTATTATTATTGTTATGATGATAATGATTATGACTATTATTATTATTGGGAAAACTTCTTGATGTATATAGTGTTTGATATTAAAGTATTAATTTGGTTCTTATGTCTTTTCTAAAAAACAAGATACCATATTATCTCTGGGTTTTGCGGAGTGTGTACTGTTCTCAAATAATGCATTTTGTGTGCTTTAATCCTCAATGCCTAAAGAGACCCTTAAGTTCAAACAAAAAAGGGCAAACCTGTGGAAGCTGCACACAATGGTGTGCAGTAGGCTGGAATATTAGCTAACAAGTGGCTCACCTCTTACATGTTTTAAACCAGTCATCATCTTTTCATGGAAGGATCCTGCCTACGAAAAGAAGCATTTGGGACTCGATCAGTGGCCTATTTGTACTTTTTTTGCCTTGAGGGGCTTGAATGCATTTTTTTGAACAGATTGTTGCTTTTTTATGGAAGGATCACACCAGTTTCATTATGTGGCATGCGCATGAACTTGCTAACATGTAAAAAAAATCTAAAGTTTTCAAAAACTATTTTGTTGCTGTTTTCTTTTTCATTCTGATGTAATAGATTTATTGATCGCAGTCATGTGTGTTTTTGCATCCCCCATTTGAGTGACGTCTGACAAATGTACATACCACAAGCCATTGTAAGGACATTTAAAAGTGAGATATGAGGTTTCGGGGCTTTATCCTGTGTTTTAAAAAGAAAAATTTGCCTTTATTTTCCTAAAACGACAGCCTTTGTAAGCTTTGATAGTGTTTATCATCAATTTTTTTCTATTTTTTTTCCCATCACTCCCAGTAGAAGGAATTTGAGTGGACACGTCAGTGTAGACATTTTTCAGTGTGGATTTAAGTTTAAGTTTTTGTGTGTCTCATTTTTTGTCGCTGTAGTAGAAGAAAAGCAATGCATCTTTTTGCCAGCAAAGAGCGTTTCCCATGCCTTACCCCCTCAGCCTCTAACCCATTTGTTTTAAAGACACTCTTTGCCTTTGTGCTTGTACACAGAGCAGCTGCTTGCGTCAAAGAGGGTACAACAGGGCCCTTCAGTTTTTTCTCTTTTTTTAAGGAACTCTAAATCACTTTTTCTTACAGTAGATGGTGGTCTTAGATGCAGTTCAAGGATTAGAGCACCCCACCTACCAAATCCTGAACTGGGTTGTTACTGGGGTGAAGCCTATCATCGATCCATGCTCTGCACAGGGTAAAGCTTCTTAGTACTTCTTTTTTCTTTTGCTGATTTAAACACTTGTTCATTTTATGTTCTGCCTCTGTTCTACTTGTGCTCATATGACCCCTACCTACGGTCCCCTTTCCCTCACCTTTCAACTCCACTACAGCTTTTCCATCAGTGGGGACTGTTTCCAAACTGCTCTTTTACAGTATATAAAAGGACAAGAAAATTTGACAGCAAAATGATCTGTATTTGTATATACACGTGTCTGAGCAACTATGAGAACTACAATAAAACATTGCTTTGATGATTGTAATACTATCTCAATTCTTTTGTTTGTTTTTTTTCACAAGGTCTGAGTTGCAGTTTTTCTTTGTTTGTCCTTGTTTCTTTCATTAAGAGCATAAAGAACGCAGATTTTTTTTTCTGCCTTTGGCATTTTCAATTTAATTGTTTTACCATGAAAGCATACAGATGATACAAAATCTAAACAGCTCTATTAAAATCAAAGCCAGGTTTCTTGTTGTGAAAATGAAACCAGCATAAACCATTTCAAACATCAATTTCAGTGACCTTAAAATGTCATTTCCAGACATTTACAGTAGGTGTTACTGAAATAGGTATCAAGAATCTTATACAGTATATTCCAATTTAGCTAATTTAGAAACTTTTAAAATAATACAAAATGTGTCTTAAACTTGAAATGTTGATTCATATGTTATACCTTGAATGTGTTATACCTTTTCTTTCAACATAGTGAGTAACATATTAGGCACCTTGAACGATGAGACAGTATCTATGCTGCAAAACAAGATTACATGTTTGTGACTCTCTTATTTGAAGAAATGTGTTTAAAAATAATCCCCTTTTTCTATTTGCTATCTTCCAAATTCAAATCTGATTGATTGATAAAAGCCTTGTAAGAGTATAGAACCTATGAGCACATTTTTAGACGTCTTTCTCAATGGTAAGAGAAGACCAATTACCCTTTCAGATTTTTCTTAGATATTGATTTATTTTTCTAATTTTGTTTACAATTTTGATTTGTTTCACTATACCTTGGATATTTGCCTTATGCATCTTGGTTATTTGCTTTAAGCATTATACCTGATTTCAAATCCAGCCATCCAAAGTTCAGCGCAAGAAATGACCTGTTCCGTGTTTGCACATATGCAGTGCACAGGGTTCTGGCAAATCAGCTTGTAAACGCTCGTAGCTCTGCTTCAACAGCAGAATTGGCCCGAAAACACCTCAACAGGGCCGACTGTCTTTCAAACAGTTTGATTTTCTCCAGACCTTGCAATTCCTGATGGGAGGTGGTCTTGAGTGGCTAATCGCCCCTCATTAACACCTTTATACTACATTACGCAGGATGCACGATGAGGCTGAACTCGGCCTCATCCAAAAAATTCTCACACCACTGCCGGATCGGCCTAAAAATGCAAAAACACGTGTTAAGTGTAGGCCCAGCTTTATATGATAAAAAATTGGATTGACAAATATTGATATTAAATGGCATACCAACAATCCCATTGAATATAGATTACTCATGCAACATACTCAGCAGTATTTAGTATCTTTTGATGTGCACAAGTGTAAACTAACATAGTGAAAGCACACATCAAGGCTTCTCTCCTTAGGGTTTCTTTCCACTTCATTCTTTCCCTCTTCTACTTGACTGCAACGTAAAATCCCTCCCTGAAGAGAAAAAACAAAAGTAACATTGTCTATAGGGATCATAATAAGAGCTTAAACCTTATTTCACATCAGTTGGACGTTAATGAGGACACCTAATAACCTTCTGCTGGACCCCATCAGTGCCATTTAGTTTCCCCTTTCCATTATCTCTGGTAATTAGACTTGATAGTCACCAAGCCCTAAGGACAAAAGGGGAAGAGAGACTACTAGAATTCACGAATGCTACAGAGCTCAGCTAAATTTATCATTACATGTAATTTAAGTTTATTTTGTGTGATACTGTTGGCAACATTGATTTTACTACGATATTTAGAATTTAACAGATACACTATAGTAAGATAAACTGGTTTAATTTAAACATGTTATTTGTTTGCTACCTGTTCACTATTCCCCAAACTGTTTCTGAGAAGGGTTATCTGTAGGCAAAGATAACAAATGTACAGACCTCTGCCAATCAGGGAATTTTGCTCCAAATTGTGATTTACGCCTTTAGCTGAAACTCGCCAATGATCTAGATAATTTGCAAATTTAATTGAATTGTTCCTTGGCATGAGGCACACCTCTGGGTAAAAAAAAAAAAAAATCCATAAAATCCATTCATAAGTTTCCAATTGATCCTGCTAACAAAGCAACAACTTTCCATTTTCTTGTGTTTTTGTCTGTGTGTGAATATTGACAACTGAGTAGTTACTTGCTGAAAGCAGAGGTCGAGGTAATCGCCTCGTACCGAGAAAGAAACTTATAAAAACTGCCCAAGCTTAAAGCCTGCATTTCAAGTATTCATTAACAGTTAAATGGAATTGTAAATAAACTTGCAATGTTTTGACTGACCTGCATAGAAATTTTATAGTTAATCATTTATTTATTTATTTTCTATAGTTATTTTATCATTCAAATTATGTCTTTTTATTATCTTTAAGAATCAAATGTGTAGGACTTTGGAATGTCTTGCTACTGAAATGTGCTATATCAATAAATAGCCTTGCATTGATGAAAAGGGGCACTGGTTTATTTGATTAAATTTTTTCTACTGATAGCATCAAATTTGATGGACTTTTTTTCAGTGTTGTAGTGTGGTTGCCATCCAGAAAAAGACACCAATACAACCAGAATGCAATTTATCTACAGTAGCTCTGTTTGTAGATATTAAATCTCAAGTTCATTAAGTTATTTCCCATTCATCCACACTGCATGGTGGAGCAGAATCAACTTCGCAACCACAAATTGCCCCTTTTCTAGGAAGGCAAGGATGTGATCAATGAAAAGCAAAGGGCATTGTGCAAAACAAAGAAGACAAAAATAAATTATTTAAAAATAAATAGTGTGTTGTATCATCTAGCCTTCATAATACATGGAAATAAGTTTAGTGTATTGTGGGAACTAAAATGAATATCCATTTTCCATCACGCTTTATCCCAGCTAGGGGTGCTGTTGCCTATCTCTAGCTGTCTATGGGCGAGAATTGGGTACACCCTGGACAGGTCACAAGTCCATTGGAGGGCAACACAGCAACAAACAGGACAAACAACCATTCATGCACACACTCACACCAAAGGAGAATTTAGAGCAGTCAGTTAACCTAACAATCATGTTTCTGGACTGTGGGAGGGTCCTGGAGTACCAGGAGAGTCTCACGCATGCACAGGGTGAACATGCAAACTCCATACAGAAAGACCCTGGGCTGGAACCTGGATCCTTCTTCTTGCAAGGCAGCAGTGCTATCCACTGCTCCACTGAGCAGCCTCCTAAAGTAAATAATTATTAATTAAATGGAGTTTTAAAATCATGTCAAAAGTGGAGAGCAACCTAAGTAGGGAAGCCCAGACTTCCCTTTCCCCTGCCACTTGGGAAAACTCCTCCAGGAGAATCCCAGAGCATGCCAAGGCCAGCCAGGAAACATAGTCTCTCTTGTGTGTCCTCCTCTTCTCTGTAACCTCCTGGAGGAATGTGCCCGGAACACCAGATGCTTGTGCCACCACAACTGGCTCCTCTTGACAGAGTGAAGGAGCAGCTCTACTCTTCAGTCCCTCCTAGAGGAATGAGCTTTTAACCCTGTCTCTAAGGGAGAGCTTAGACACCTTTTTGAAAAAACTAATTTCAGCCCCTTGCATCTGAGATTTCATTCTTTCAGACTCCACTCAAAGTTCATGGCCATAGATGATGGTAGGAACTAAGATCTATTGGTTAACTGAGAGCTTTGCCTTTTGACTCAGCTCTCTATTTACCATGACAAACTGATACAGCGCCCACTTCACTGAAAATCCATAAACAATTTGCCTATAAATTTCCTTCTACTTTCTTCCCACATCTGCGAACAATATCTTGAGATAATTGAATTCCTCCACTTGGGGCAGAACATCAGCCCAACCCAGAGAGGGCACTCTACCCTTTTCAAGCTGAAGACTATGGCCTCACTTATGGAGGCACTTAGCCTCACCATGGCTGATTCACACTGCACTACGAACCACTCGAGAGACAGATCTATACATCACAGCCTGTTAAAGTCTACAGAACCATCTCATCCACAAATAGTAGACACAATTTTAAGGCCACTAAAATGGATCCCCTTATCACCTTGGCTTCACCTGAAATTTCTGACAATAATAATTGTGAACAGAATTGGTGACAAAGGGCAACCTTGGCAGAATTCAACTCTTATGTAAAACAAGTCAGACTTATTGCTTGGGAGCAGACTTACAGCCCAAATCAAAGGGCATGGTACACCATAATCCCAGACTATTCCCCAAAGGACCACCCCTAAAGCACACATTGGAATGTCTTCACAAAGTCCACAAAGAACATGTAGACAAGTTGGGCAAACTCCCATGCACCCTCAAGCATCCTGCTGAGTGGTCCTTTGTTTCACATGGTAAATCTTGAATGCTCACTGAGTTCCTGTATATCCTTTCTGACCTCAGCTGACATAACCCACCTGGATCTTTATCTATAAGCCTATATGATATTATTTAAGAAAGGATTCTGAGAGATCAATATGGTGGGGGACCGGATTTGACCATCTAACCATCTTCTCTCTTCAGTCCGACGTTGTCCATTATCTTCCTGGGATCATGAATTAATGACAGCTCCTGACCAATTAAAATTTTAAATACTGGTCTGTAATTTCTAGTGACTGTACAGGTCCATAGGATGGTGTAGTCATATGTATGGCTATAGGCAACCTCTAAAAGACCTTTTTATAGGACTCACACATATAGCTGTTCCATATCATCAGAGAGATGATCAAAAAATAGATATCTCAATAAATGCACTGACCACACTTATGCTAATGTATAATAATATTTCATTAGCAAGCATCTGACAGGAAAAAGAAATACCAGCAAGAATTATGCAAAATAAAATTTGTTTAAAATGTTTAGCTAATTTCAGCTAAAAAAGAAATGTTTTCATTGAATCCTCAAAACATAATTTTCTTGGCATCCAGCTGTACAGTTATGTTAGAGACTGAGGGATACTAGACTTTGGTCCCAAAACTATGAATTGTTAAATACATCTTCTCTTCTGGTCAGTTAGCTCCTCTCTTCAGCACATCAGCTTCCTCTTTTCTGATCTCCTACTGACCACTATCAGAATAAGTCACAATAAATCTATTCTAAACACCTAAATCCTAAGAGTAA